GATGACTTGGAGTTTAATAAATAACCCTGAAATGACTAGTCGAAAAAAAGTTAACTTGCTTTAGCTGATCCAATTATAACCCGACTCGAACTTTTACTGAAAGTTCATAACATCAATTAAAGATTGCCTTACGTCAGCATTTTCCAAAGAATTCGATGACATTATACCTGTTTTGTAAGAAAAAACGGCCAAATATAGGCATATAAAGATAATAAAAATTTTGTAGAAATCTATTCTGGTATAATAAGTTATAATTAATACCAATCATGCTTTAACGATGATATAATGTAGTCTATTCTTATAGTACATGAAAAATTATATTTGAGCTGCATGTCCTCCATCCACCTACTCAAACATTATAGTTCAAATGAAAGCGTAGCCACGATTATATTAGCATTTGTGTCCTTCGAGAGCATGTTAACAAGTAGCTGCAGAATGAAAAAAAAGTTAGAATTATTTTACATAGCACAATATTGATGCAGGAATCATGACTCGAATAAGACAGGTGTTCAGGACAGTTAGCAATCTGAATAATTTTCAACTTCACCCTATAGTTGTAGCTCTTACCGTCTAAATATTTAGGTAGGAGCTCCACATTCATGTATCACATACCTTTGACAACTTCAGAAATTTTTACGTTACTACATTTTACATTGCTGGGTAGCTAAATGATATTAAATCCTTATAGATCTATGGAATTTTGGCGCACTGGTATAACATACTTTGTGTATAGTTTAAGGAATTGTCGACTCCTTAGGACACTATATTCATCAGCCTAGCTTATGATAAAACTATATCTGCCCATTTATATGTTTTATTTCTATTTTTACGAAGAGTCGCTGGTCTCCGCTTCTCTTGTCAGTCGTGCGTGGTTGCACGCTTCTCGTCATCCTGAATTATATCGCAGACTTTGCCTATTGCCTAAGTGGTGTCTACCTCGTGGACCTCAGGCTTTTCCAAGGCGTGTTTCCTTGCCTTTTACAACAAATACTGAGCATACATCGGCGATCACAGTATCTAGCCATCTCCACCCTCTCCAGCTTCAATATCAACGCCTATTCTCAGTAGGGGAGAATAAACAGCTGCCAAATTCGTCTCCTATCCGGTACTCGGAAGCTTCGAAGGAACATAGTTTAGCGTCCGATTATGGTATGAATGTCTTATCTGTTCACTTTGTCAAACTCAGCCTCTTCTTCTAGCCTTATAACAACGACTTCTGTCTAGGAGAGTACTGCTCTTTTGAAGAGTGTTTAAACGAAATGTGGATCTGAACTCAACATATATAATAAATTTACATTTTGTAACTAACCTTTTAATTTTATCACATATTAAGGGATTCATAGTTTATATGCATCCTCCACGTTTTCAGTCTTGATGGTAGTAGTAATTGTCTCATTTTATCAAAATACTCTTGTCAGTCAAGCTTTTTATAATTTGTGAAACGAATATCAGATCCTTTTCTGCATACCAACCTTAACTCAGCTTAGAAGTTGGCGCCTAACCTTAACTCGGATTTTCAGTGTGCTACGGATAAAAACCATCTTTGGAATCCAATTTCAGCGAAATTTATAAATATAGCCAACCTCAATTTATCATCGACAGTCTCACTGTCAATACATATAATAGCTAAGAAATAAATGGCTTCCCTCGCTCCAAAATAGTTGATTTAAATCATTCTACTACAAGTAATTCAGTGCAACAGCCCTTTCCAATGATATGTGCAATTTTGCCTTATTTTCTTTCCTCTAGTTACAAGTAGTGAATATATAAAAAATGTCAAAAGTACATGCATCTCGTGTTAGTTTATAAAATATTTTACTAATGCTGAAGAGACATGAAGGAAAGAAGCTGAAGATAAGAAAATATTTTTACTTCATTATTCTTTTTGAGTTTACTTATTTATTTAACATTACTGATTAACTAATATTTTATCCGGTCATCTAAGACCTCACTGGTGGTATTACTATGCTCGAGATAGTTTCGCAAATTTCAGTTTGGGTATTTTTCCCTTTAGACTTTTCGTTTAGAGACAAAAACCTGGTGAATAATTTCACCCAACCATATCAC